AGAGGATAGGTGGAGAGGAAACAAACAGGTCGAAGAGGCGGGGATGGGGCCAGGAAAGTCTATCCCTCTTCTATCCGCCTCCCACTCTCTCCCTATTTATTTCAAAACCCCCTTCCCCTCCCCCTTTTCTGATGAAGGGTCTAGGCCCGAAACGTCAGCCTCTCTGCTCCTATGATGCTGCTTGGCCTGCTGTGTTCATCCAGCCCTGCACCTTGTTGTCTTGGATTCTCCAGCATCTGCAGTTCCTACTATCTCTAAATAGATTGAGATTGGTTAAGGATAAAACAGAAATTAGACATTCTGAAAAGGGGTAACATTAAAGTTGCAGTGAGAGGGGCAGTCAAGATGCTGGATTAGAAAAGGAAAAATAGAAACGTGGTGCTAAGTTAGGGACACAGCAGAAGCTCAGATCACAATCTTCAATTCTTCTTTGGATATGGAAGTACTGGCAGTAGGTTTACATGTTATGGCATTGTCGCCTCTTAGTTCAAAAACATTTGGGGAAGGACTGCATCTGTGGTAGGAAAGCTAATTGAGACAAATTCCCACTTTTTCAAGACAAAATCACAGCTAACTAATCTAGATTGAGTTACTTGATGATCTAACAGAAGGTTGAAGCTGGTGCAATTGATGTGACATATGAACTTTCAAAAGACATTTGATAAAGAATAACCTAATAGAGTTAAACATAACTACATGATATGAAAAGGGGACAATGGTAATGTGGTAATGAAATTGGCTGGGAGATAGCAGGCAAAGGCCAAGTTACTTTTCTGACTGAAAGTAGCATTCAACAGGGTTCCCACCCACTCATCCACTTAAGGGTCAGTATTAGGATTACTGTTTTTTTGCAGTTTGCATTAATAGCCTGGACCTACCTATAATGTACAATTTTGATGTTTGCAATTGATATATACGTGGCAACACAATGTGCAGTAAACAGAAGAGCCAGACTTTAGCAGGACATTGATGAAATGAGCACACACAACTTAGTATCAGTAGGATGCACTTTAGCATAAATGATCTGGAGAGGTAGTGTGATCTAAATAATACCATTCTAAAGGATGCAGAGAAGTGGGATCTGCACGTTCACAGTGTCAGGGAAGGTTAATGAAGTAAATAAGAAAGCATGAACACTTGGCTTAGTGAATAGTGACAATGAAATAAGAAGGTTACGTTCAACCTTTACAAGGCTACAATTAGACCGCATCTGCAGCACTGCAAACTATTCCGGGAAAAACACCTTAGGAAGAATGTCACAATCCTGGAAAGACTACAGAAGAATTTCCACATTGAGGTTTTTGACACTACGCAAGAATGCGAGGCAAGATATCGGGGTCTCCAAGCAGTACTGGCTGTGGTGGGTAGGAGGTTTAGACCGATTCCTGACAGATGAGAGATTTCTTAAAATCCTCTGGGTGTTCTCCCAGTGGGCACGGCCTGATGGAGTGCTTTCTGAGTTCTGATTACTGTTGCAAAAGAATCAGCCTCTGAAACCATAAGTGTGTGTCGAAGCCCAGCCAAACTTCCCACGTACACCCCTCTCGCCCAGAACACAACAATCGAAACCTTTCCTTCAACCTATGAGGAAGCTGGTAATTCGGGGAGTGAATCGACCCATCGAAACAACACATTGGGATAGGGAGAAAATAATTTATTTTAACCTTGAATCCAACTTCACTCCCTGAGGGCGATCTGAACGGAGCCGGCGGCTGAATGCTACCATTTTTAACTCCCTCACCCAAACCGGGGCCTAGCCCTTACCTCAGGATGTTGTCAGCATATTTCAGCAGCAGCTCTGAAGCGTCCAAGAAGATGTGCTCGGGATTCTGGCTCAGCTCGCTCACAGCCACCGACACCATGGTGGAGAAGCTGGGGACGGCTTCGACACGGACTGCAGCCCACAGGAGAGGGCGCTTTAACTCCCCTTCCTCAACGAACAACTGCTCCCGTGTATTCAGACGGCAAACAATCCACAATTTAAAAAGAAAACCAGAATACCGACAACCGACAACCGACAACCGACTACCTGTCTGAGGAAAGAAACTAAAATAACCTCCATCCAGGAAGTGATGACGTTTCATTAGCGCCGCTCTTGCCCCTTTCAGATTGATGCTCGTTGGTTTTGGGCGGACAACCTCCGGCTCCACCCACGTCGTGGCGTCATGGCGCGGTGTCGGGTGAGTCGCGCCTGTGTCTCAGGGAGTCGGTGAGTGAGTGTCGACGAATCTGAAAAGTTGCCTCTGTCTCTTTGTTCATGAGTCCTACTCTAAAAATATTTCCTGTGTTTTCTTACATTTTGGTCTGTGCTTGCTTATGTTTCTTCCAAAGGACGGCTGCTCCTCAGTCTTGCTTATTTTAGCAACTGAAGGTAGTAGTGCTGATCCATCTCTCGGGAAATTGAGGGCCCAAGCGCTTCTCCTGTTTCCAAGTTTCTTCTGTTGTGAAAAAAAATCCACGATCCTAACTAGTTTTGACGACAGGCCACAGAACGCTTTTTCTCTCCACACGGAAAACTGCTGACATGCTGAGCCTTTCCAATACTTTGGGTTGCATTGGAACCAACCTTTTGCTGGTCTTCCAAAAAATACTTAAGACTTCTTGTGATCTTCTCGTTCCCCTTTAGTAAGGATCCTGGCAACATCTACCTGAGATCTGTTTTGGGTATATAAAAAAACTTGCTGAGCAAAATAATAAATTGATTAAAAAATGAGTAATTCATAAAATGACCATTTAAAAACTGTCTAGTAGTTTAATAAGATTTTTGTTCTGCCTTTTCACTTAGCTTCAGAAATAGAGCTAGAGAGAGATAGGCAAGGCTCCAAATCTTGATCAATGAAGAAGGGAAGACAGAGGACTTTAGGACTTGTTCTAGAGACGTACAGCATGGAAGCAGATCCAACTCATCCATTCTGACCAGATATCCTAAATTAATCTGGTCCCATTTGCCAGCATTTGGCCCATATCCCTCTAAACCCTTCCTACTCATGTACCCATCCAAATGCCTTTTAAATGTTGTAATTGTAGCCGCCTGCAAAATTTCCCCTGACAGCTCATTCCATGCACATATCACCCTCTGCGTGAAAAAGTTGCCCTTAATTCCTTTTAAATCTTTTCCCCCTCACCTTAAACCTATGCCCTTTCTAATGTTGAGTTAGCCTTGGGTGGTGTACACTCCAAACTGACCTTGGTGGAATTCATATGAAAATGAGGTTTGGAACTGGTTTGTCTTTCTCCTGTCCTGGTTTGTTGTGTAAATAGATATTTGTAAAATGAGGAGGTGTGTGCGCGCATGTGTCCGCAATGAGCAGCCTCTGTCTTGAGTGTGTGTGCCAGGGTCACTCCCACTCTGCAGTACTTTCTTTCTCTTGTTCTCACGCGCTCGCTGTCACTTTCTTACGTACAACTGCCCTGCCCTCACTCGAACTTTGGCGGAGTGGGGGAGCAAAGTGTGACACTGATCTGACAGGGGACAAAATGGCACACAGAACAAACGGAGGGGGTGGAGGATGTGAAGTATCACACTGAACTATCTGGGGCAAAGTGTCTTATAAACTGTGGTGACTGCAGGGAAAAGCACCCTGGGTGTATTTTTAGCCTTGTATTCAAACGTATGCTGCTGAATAAATGGGAAAGTTTAAGACTGGAACATTTGAACAATTTGAGGAAACTGTCAGGACACACAGTGACATCTGGTCACCCTATTTGAGAGGCTCATGATGGTGATATCTCATGCGTGATGTCTTCTGTCCCCTCCTAGGCCAGTGCACCCTTTGGGGATTGGTATCCATTATTCCTGGCCTTCAGCAATGGCCACCTTATTGTATAGTCAAATTGATTTGAGCAAGTTTAAGAATGTTTTACATTTTGGTTACAAATTGATAACATAGGTAACAATTCCTTCATTGTAATTTTGCATACAAGAAGCTCATTTGAACGGTGAAATAACAGATCACTTTCTCAATGTAAGCCTGTAGCTACAAAATAGACAATTTGCTGCAAGGATAAGTTTTAATGAATAAATTCAAAAATTCATTACATTTTATTTAACTGAATTAGGGTCAACTCTAAATAGCTATTCTGAGTAATATCTAAATCTATAATGTATTAAAATGTGAGATAACAAGGTGTAGAGCTGGATGAACACAGCAGGCCAAGCAGCATCAGAGGAGCAGGAAGGCTGACGTTTCGGGCCTAGACCCTTCTTCAGAAATTAAAATGTGTTTTATTTATGTATATTTCCTATCTTGATAAAACTTTCCTCATTATGGATTACTATATCTTTATTTATTAGTGAGAATTATCTTTGTAAATACGTCATATTTAAATTGTACCTCAAACAGTAGTGGCATTGTGGTACGATCACTGCAGCAACGACTCTACCACTCTGCTTTGAGATTTGTCATTAACAATCATGAATAATATAAACTCAAAAATATACAAAATAAAGACGTAGTGTTTGACTTTAAAATGAGAACTAAGTTATGTCTATGCCCCTGTCAAATTTCCCTCTATAAAATTCTTTACCTAATGATTACATCTGTACATATCTAAAATATGATTTTAAAATACAGTCACTTATTTGTGCATTTACATGATTCATTTAAACTTTGAATTGCCCAATGCTGACAGCCTTATAGAACCGAGGATCGGTGATAGGTGAGAATGTCTTAGTCAATAGTACTGAACAATGTGAAAAATCCAGGAATGACCCATTTCCGCCACAGTCACTTGAAAATAAGACCATTTACGATATTGGCCAATATGCTCTTGTTGACTTTAGCCACACTGCAGGAATTCACATTTGAGCTAATGGCATGTTTAACAACCTTAGAAATTTTAAAAATGGGCAAGTTTTGATAGTATCTGAACATTGAGTGACATTTGCAAACAGGAAGGGGCAGTTGAAGATGAAAGAATTAGGATGTCGATTTCATGAAAAAAACGAAACATAAAAGGCAGTGAGGAGATGAAAGAAAAACCACCATAATAAGGATTTGAAATGAGGTGAGGAGTAACTGGCGCAGTGATGTTTGAAACCCGTTTGCTGCTTGCATTTGATTGAAGTGAGTGCAGATGAGCAGTGGAACAAAGAGATGATTTTTGTTGGACAAAGAGAGGCTGAGGGTTATCATGTCTTCCAAGATGATCTTATAGTTTTTTTTTCCTTATTCTTTCATGGAATATGGGTGTCACTGACAAGGCCAGTATTTGTTGTCTATCCCTCATTGCCCGTGAAATGAGTGGCTTACTTGATCATTTCAGAAGGCAGTTAAGAGTCACTCACATTGCTGTAGTTCTGGAGTCACATGTAGGCCAAAGCAGGTGAGAATGGAAGATTTCCTTACCTAAATGGCATTAGAAAACCAGATAGGTTTTCATGCCAATAGATAGTTTCATCGAGACAACAAGGTGCAAGGCTGGATGAACACAGCAGGCCAAGCAGC